ACATGAGACGAGCCTTCGTTCTGACACCACTGCTACGTCTACAGTGTTGTACCACAATGCTGCTGCCACGCTTGTGGCAACAGGTTCACATTTTAAGTGAGCGCACTGATAAAAAGGATGTGCTGAAGAATGTGTTTATGTTAGGTTTTAAATATCGCTTAAGTAAATGTGCCTGTGCAGCAAGTTTGCGTGTTTTTTGTTGTTTTTTTACTTTTACTTCCCTTTCAATTGACAAAGAACCATATTTGGAATTGGAAGAATTTTTGTTCTATGAAGGTCACAGTAAATAAACCAGTGATGGTGTGTGTATGGTTACTGCATGTCTTACCAGGAGGGGAGAGTGATGCACCCTCCGGATGAAGTGCCAGTGATGGAGGAGCTGTCTGACTCAACAACAAATAACAATGTTCTCATCAGTACTATATTATTACATAATTATACAACATGTCATAATATCATCAACAAAAAACTGACCAGCTGATTAACTACAGCACAAGTATGATAGAGTTTACTTAAACGTCTCACCGTCATCACTGCAGGCAAGCTCATCAGCCAGCTCCTCTTCTTCTACATCCGCCTGTGCAGCATGCTCTGGGCTGAGCAAAATCAAGTGTAATCACTAAAGGAAAGATGTGAAGGAGGGAAACCTGAAATGTGATGTAGCTGATTCTCACCCAGGCGGAGGGGGAGTCTCTTCAAGCAGGGATTCCTGTGTCGGTGAAGGAGAGGAAAGGGATGGAAAGAAATCTGATGTGGAGGCTGGCTGTCCCTGTCTTGTGAGGCGAATGGCTGAAATCTGATTGGTCATTGAGCCCACCAAGGCTCCTGCAGGACAGGAGGAAACATCTGCATGTGAACTACAGGATTGTGCTACATAACTACACAGTACTGTAAATACAAAACTGGGGCCCATTAAAAATCTTTAAATTAAAAGGAAAACATACAAACAAATGAATAAATAAATAAAAAGGCCTCCTTTGTTTCAATAAGGATATTCAATTATTGAGAATGAAAATATATCTAAAGACTCATAATGCTGGGTACGGTTGACCGAGTATGTGTTTTTAAAAATTTGTGACTTTTTTTTTTGCAACATTTGAAACAAAGAACAGTGGGTGGAAACATATTAACCCAGTGGTTCCCAAACTTTTTTTGCTAGGCCCCCCTTTGTTTTAGAAGAAAAACCCCCCCCCCCCCAAACATCTCCAACATGTCAGGAGTAGTTAGTCTTTATAAGAAGTGTTTGTGAACTAAAAATCAAGAATGTGGGATTCTGTTTGCCCGTGATTTGAACAGCCCAGCGCTGCTCCCGACGCAGGGAAACCCAATCCTGCAGGGAGACCTACCTCCACACTTGTGCAGGTGAAGCCAAAGGGAAGGTCTGCCTCACCATATTTTCTAGTGTTTGGCTCAAAATGAAGTTGGTTTGGAAACATATTCAGTGATGCTTCATCTCCTGCTTTGCGTTTGTGTGGGAGCTCCGTCAAAAGCCTGTCCGTTATGCTAGCAGTGTCAACCCTAACCCTTTGTATTAACCAAAGACAGCCTGTGTAAAACACGACCTATGCTGCTGTGTTGACTTGTATAAGGATCCCAGACACAGAGTTAAAAGTCCAACATTTTGCTTGGGCTTCCCAAAGGTTGATTCTGTTCATCTGGGCGTAGCATCAGTGGGAGAAACGAGTTGTCATCATCCAGGTGACTGTCTCAGCTGACTGCAGGTTTCCAACCTTATAAACAGGACATCTGCACAATGACTAAAACTAGCCCACTGATGAACAATGGGCTGGGAGGTCAGCTCCTTGGCTTGTCTGTATTGAGCAGCAACTCAAACCAGTTTAGAATTATAAATGCTTATTTAGACACTGAGCCATGGCTCTGTACTATACGCACACATTTCTGCATCTTTGCCATTCAAAGACACTTTGTTTCGCAGCTTTGTTTGCTAGTTTAACTTTTCCGTTACGGGAGAAAAGATGTTCCTACAGCCTATTGCATGGCCGGCTCAGACTGCTTCCATCTTTTTTGCCCGGCCTCCAGACCTTTAGTTTATTTTACTTGCTCTTTCTGCCAGAATAAAACCATTTTAACAAACAAACTCACAACAACCTTTGATGGAAAAATGTCCTTTCAAGGAAACTTTCAGAATCAGCTTCTCGACAACCATAGCTAGCTGATTTAACTGCACTTCACTGACAGGCCCATCTGCACTGCTGTGCTGCAATATGTGCACTGAAATCCTAACATACGGAGAAACATTATGTTCAGATTGGGTCTAGTGCAGTTAGATCATAGAGTTCATTGTGCAGAGAAGACGTGGAGAACGCTAAGCTGATTGCTGCATCAACAGGGTAACAACAGCCTTAGCAGCGTGACGGTGTGGAGTGACATCTACCTCACTGGAAAAAATAAGGCTTGTCACCACTGGGGAAAAATCTCAATGCACAGAGATTTTGCAACCAATGCCAACTCCATATCTCCACAGTCTGAGGTCCAAACCATCCTCCATCTCCCACAAACCGGTGCCTGCTCATATGAGTGTTCAATGGATTAATTAAAGTTTATGAAAATCAGTCAATTAGCTGGAAGATGCAGTTGATCTTACCATTTATGAGTACAATACTCTTTGCTGTTCTATTAATAAAACTCAAAAAACAACTGTACCTTTAAATTAGTTTGTTATCTCATATTCATATCTATACCCAGACAATCTCCACGTCCTGGGTTCCATTAATATGGGTGTAGCACAAGCAAACAAAAAGTTCTGATTACCTGCAGCAGCGTCTGGTGGAGGTGGCTTTTCTGAGTCACTGGCACATTTCAAAGGTGGCGTGGGACTGTTTGGAAAGGAACTGATACGTTTGCATGTGGGCTGGGTTCTTCCCAGCACACTACATGGGATCTGCTTGGTTAGATCTAGTGATGCTCTTTTTTGGGACTTGGTGATTGCAGTTGCTCCCAAAACTGTGAGAGGAACACCTTTCACAAGGAGCTGACAGTCAAAAGAAATGTCAAACAAAGTTGTGCTGCTGTTGTGTGTCTGACCGTATTTTGCTGCTGGTGGGATTGAATAACTCCTCTGTGTAGGTTTTGCTTCTCCTCCTGTGCTTCTCATCTCAGCGTTTGTGCTGTCGAGGCTGGAAGCATCCTTCTCCACAGCTGGCCCCTGATGTTGACAAAGACTAAGGCACATGTCAGGCACGGGTGGCAAAGAGAAACAGTCTGCAGCCTCACACTGCGGAGAAAACAAAACAATATCAGACAGACTTGCATAAACCTAAAATTATAGGTATATTTCTGAAGGTGGCTAAATTACGGTTTTGCCTATAATGAACTATTTGCTTTTACTGATCCCTAATACAGCCCTACACAATGATTGGTTTAAATCACTAGACTTGAACATGTCAAACATATTTATGGAAAAACAAACCATGATGGTTGTTGTGGCTGCACCTACAACAAGCACTGTGTGGAAAAGTAGAAATAAAAGTTGGCTTTCGTGAGTTCGAGCATTAAGCATCATAACAACTTTAAACGTCTAAAATCTGGAACATATTATTCACAACAGGAATCTTTTTTTAGTGCAAGAACATATCAAATAATGGAATTATTGATTCCTTGAATTACATTAGTTGAAGTGTGCCACATATTAAATCCCAGTCAAGTGAGCTTAGACGTGGCTAAAATGACTTTTAAATCATGGTAATTATTATTACACCTGCATTTAATTATTATCTACAGTGTACAAGTTATTGCTCACTACTGATAACTCAACTTCACTTCCAGCTGCAAAATGAGTTCTTTCCATCAGCCCACTCAAAAATACTTTTGTATACAAAATATATTTAAATACCTTCAAAATTATTAAAAGACCCAACATACAACTTGTACAACACACAACTCTCCACAGAATACAATGTACAGGACAAAGCGTGTTCCAAATGGGCTTTACCCACAAACATGCAGCCATTGCACAGGAAACTCTGCTGATAACCATATCCATGTTTTACAGTGCTATACAGCTGTTCAGAGGTTCTGTCAGAGGACATGCTAAAATATAAAGGCAGCTGTAGACTACACAGTCGTTTAAACAATGGCCTGAGCAATTGGTTGCAACCCAAAACATTCCTAGAAATGATCAGTGCTGGAAAAGCACTCACCATCAGCTTCTTGGTGTGCTGGGAAGCCTGCTTCCCTATAATCAGCAGATCTTGATGAGACACTGCCCCCAGTCCCATAAGTGCATCGCCTGTGGCAGCCTGATGACTCTCCACTGCTGAAATGTTTGCAGACTGAGAGCTCTCAGACGATGTAGATTTTGGCATGGTATCTGGCAGCTGGACATTAAGGCCAACCTGGTTTTCCATCTTGTTACTGGCCTGTGTTAGGCTGCAGCCAGTCTGCTTCAGCCCTGGTACCAGCAGTTTGTTTGGGGTTAGAATTCCATCTGACACAGCGGTGAAGGTGCCATCGCCTTTTTCACAAACAGCAACCACCGGTGACTTGGCTTGGTCATTCTTCCTGGATAGCTCAAAGGAGACATAACTATAAGGCACTTTTGTGACTCTAACTGTCTTGGCTTGTGCACTTACAGGGGTTGTGGTGTTGGGATGATCTGCACTAGAACAAGCCACAAGCTTCCCTCCACCCCAGGGGGAGGACTGGTTGGTTGGCATGGTAAAAACCAGCGATGTCGTCCTTATTTCTAAAGGCTGGTTTTGTGGCAGAGTTTTGGGTGATCACAGTAAACAATTTGACAGTTGAGAAAACTAATAAATGAATGGCTGAAAGCTCCTCCTCCTCTTGCTGACCCAAAGTTGGTGATTTTCAAGGTCAACTCCAACTAAACAGATAACCAGTTCTTGATAAAGCCAGACCAACAGTAACCACTACTTCCATGGCAAATGTCTGGGCCTCTCATCTGGGCTGGAGGTAAGCAGGAAAACATTGACTTGTGGTTGTGCTGCAGGTTTAGATGTTTTCAGGTGTGAAGTATACGTAATTCAAGATGAATCTTAAGTCTCTGGTTCATCAGGAGGTGTTTTTCCGTCATTTTCTCATATACTGCTGCAGGAAGAAATGTGGCTGCACCAGATTATTCACACTAAGGTATCAGGACTTGACAGGAGAATGGGATCCCCCACAGCCATCATATCATCCTCAGTCACGTTACAGGAAATGAAACTGTCCACTCTCAGCCCTAATACTGTAAGCACAAGAGAAAAAAGCACAGTCAGTTATTATTAATTATTATGAAAATCCTTTCATATTATCATCACTTAGTATTTGCACATATTCAAGCCATTTTACTGCAGTAGGCACATACAATGTCACAGGTAATCCAAATTTTTGTATCACTGAAAAACTGGGTTGTGAACATTTTAGGTTGCTTAAATTACAGAACAAGTTTTAGATTGAGATTAAACTACTTAGAAATATTGCATCTTTATGGTTTAATCTTTGAAGAATAGCATTGGGTGACTGGAAGAATATATCTGTGTTGGTGGTTAACTCACTTAATTGCAGTTGTTTTTGTTTTGGGTTTTCCCCCATATTTTCTGTCAGATTGTGTTCCAATTATATGTTATATTTGAGATGACGGCCGTTGAACACATAGCCCAGCCATAATGGGGGCAGATTGTTGTATTCCGTATGCATTTTTAATTTTGGGTGCCTTTACGTAACGTGTACTACGGCTAACATGCTTCAGGTAATATTAAGGGCATATAGAACACTGTGGCGATGTCCTATAGATCAGCAAGACCGAACGTGGGGAGTTGGCTAGCTTGAAGTAAACTATAACGTCCCATATTCACGGCTGTCGCTGCTGACTTTTGTCATAGTGACGACTGTCAGAGAAAGCGTGGAGAATTCACGTGTGAGCTGACATGCCGCTTCAGTTTAGCTTCACATTAGCCTACTTATAAGTCTAGTTTGATTACGTTAAGTGATAAAATGGTGTTAGCTGACGCGAAACTGAGTTTCCATAGAAACAATGCACCCACCCTGTGGGGTAGCCATACATAAAGCCAGTTTAACTAACCTACCTTCAGTTTACCGCTACAATGTTCACTTCGTGTTAGCTTAGCAACCCAGACCGATTCAATTAAACTGCTAAACTGTCGTCATGTGCTCTAAGAACTGCCCGGAGGATAAAATACTTTTATGAACTCATAGGAATCTTGTTATTCTATGTTCGTACCTACTTTGTCTCATGTAATGACTAAAGCTGGTGTTCCTAGTCGAACGATAGGATGCATGTTGCACCGCTGAGCTTAAAAATCCAAATGATACATCAGCGTGACCCAAGATCGTCTATTGAACCAATAAGAGAGCAGGACTTCTTCTTCTTCTTCTTTTTATCAGTATTTATTGGCGGTTGGCAAACAGCGAAATGTTTTGCTTACCGCCACCAATTGGTGTTGAGTGTGGGCCGTACAAACAAACCCTAGAGCAGGACTTCTTCTTCGTAGAGGTTTTTGGCGGAGCGTTACTGCCACCACCTGGTAAAGATACGTCACTTCATAGTGCGGATCCCGCGCTACAGTCCCTAGTAACTGTTGCCAAGGGAATCTGGTTCAGATCTTAGTGGGCACAGGGAACGAAAGAAACGTTTATTTGCTTCGACACCAAACAGATTACATGAATCTGATGAAATCCTTTGCGTAACAATTCCTAGATTAAACTTTATTTTAATCTCTCCCAGTTTCCTTTTAGGTGTTTTCTTTCAAATAAATAAAATAAATTCACCATATATTGTGTTCTAACATGATACTAACACAGCAAAGTAACGAGAGGTAGGGTGTCAAACGAAGGTACTATCTCCCCGACTCTCCAAACTTTCACTATCACTTTATTGTTTTTAAAAATATTTTGAATGCATTCCTAAAGCACGTATATCTCCTCATTATAAGGTTTCAGTATCTGCTGCAGTCCGAATGAACGCCGCTAAAATAATGTTAACAAACACGTCAAATCTCAGTGGGAAAACAAATCCTCTGGCCTGGGTGTGTATTAGGACCAGTGTTGGGTAAGTTACTTTAAATTAGTAACTTAGTTACATTACTAGTTACTTTCATCAAAAGTAACTCAGTTACTTCAAGTTACTCGTTACTTTCAAAGTAACTAGTTACTAGGTAAAGTAACTTTGGTTTTACTCAGACTTCTCTTGTTAATGTGTTGCTAACTGGATACCCAGCAAGAGTGCCAGTCTTCTAGCTTGCTTACTTGCCACAAGTGCACTGTGCCACCTACCAAAGGAAAAAATAATGTGCATATTTCCACGAGAGAAATCCCACGCCTGGACCGTCGTTGACCACCGCCATGATTCTAGCCTAACGAAAATGAACTCCACCTAAACTTGGTTTATATCTGACCCAGATAGACTGCAGGTCATAACTTCTTACCTGAAGTTCAGTTCACCTGACACTCGGACGGGCGGCCGCTTCGGGTTTCTCCTCCTGCCTCCCCTTTCTCTCATTCACCTGCTGGCCTCCACCACTTGCTAATGTTACTGAATCTGTGGAAGCTCCGCGATAGCCACCACACGAAGTAACGAGTAACGAGCCTATCTAAATCCCAGTAACGAGTAACGCGTCCCTGATTTTGGCATAATAACTAGTTACCGTGCTCGTTACCACAATAATATCCCAACACTGATTAGGGCTCGGGTGTCTGAATTCAAAGACAAAATGCTACTCAATAATTTGTATGCATTAAAATTACATCTCCAAAAGTTGAATCTGTTCATCTGGACGTAGTGTTTTGTGGGAGAAACGTTTCGTCATCATCAGGTGACGTCTTCAGTCTCAACTGACTGCAGGTTTCAATCTTATAAACAGGACATCTGCATAATGACTGAAACCAGCCCACTGAGGAACAATGGGCTGGGAGGTCAGGTCCTTAATCTTAATTATGCAAATTCTCATGACCATTGATCAGCAATCACTGATCAAAACCCACTGATCAGTGTCCATGAGTCCCATTCACTGTCACGGTTCTGGGTCCGTTGGACCCAGTATTTTGAGTTTATTATGTTTTGGTTTATTTTTGCATTATGGATTGTTTTCTGATGTTCTGGTGCTTTGTTTATTATTATCATTATAGATCTGTTTCTGTTATTCTTGGTGAGGGATCAGTTCTTAGGTTTTGGGTTCTCATGTGTATTACAGTTTCTGTTCAGTGTCTAGTCTGTCTCTCAGTCTCATGTCTGCATCTGGTTTAGTAATTCTTGTTTCCTGTCTTATTGTGAAAGTCTTTGTCTTATGTTAGTGTGTGCAGCTTAGCTCCCCCGTCTCGTTAGCCCTGATCTCCCCCAGCTGTGTCTCCCTTCTGTTGCCCATTCCCTCATTACTACCCTGTGTATTTAAGCCCTGTGTTTTCCAATGCTTGGTGTCGCATCGTACCCTCAGATTATGCCTGTGTGTTTCTTTGGGTTCTGTATTCACGGCTGGTTTTCATGTCAGCAATAAAAGCTGAGGTTCTGATTTATAATTCTGTGTTCGAGTCCTGCGCTTGGATCCTCCTCTCCGCCTGCCCGCACACAGAGCCCTGACATTCACAGAGTGTTGGGGAATGTCTGCAATCACAGCATTGTAAGATGGTGACAGATGTACCCTTAGGCCCCCTCCTCGATTCCGAGATGGTCTTTCCCTTTTCACGTAAATGGCTGCATTCAAACCAGCGTTCCTCCCTGTCCAGGATGTGAACATCCTCATCCTTGAAAGAGTGTCCACTGGCCTGTAGGTGTGAATAGACTGCAGAGTCCTGGCCTGACGAGGTGGCTCTTCTGTGTTGTGCCATCCTCTTAGTCAGAGGTTGTTTGGTTTCCCCGATGTATAAATCCTGCCAATCCTCCTGGCACTTAACAGCGTACACTATATTACTCTGTTTGTGTCGGGGGACCCGATCCTTGGGTGGACCAAGGGAAAGACCATCTCTGAATCAAGGAGGGGGCCTAAGGGTACATCTGTCCCCATCTTACAACGCTGTGATTGCAGCCATTCCCCAACTCTCTGTGAATGGGACTCATGGACATTGATCAGTGGTTGTTGATCATTGGTCATGAGAATTTGCATAATTAAGATTAAGGAACTGCCCTCCCAGCCCATTGTTGCTTCAGTGGGCTGGTTTCAGTCATTATGCAAATGTCCTGTTTATAAGATTGAAACCTGCAGTCAGCTGAGACTGAAGACGTCACCTGATGATGATGAAACGTTTCTCCCACAAAACGCTACGTCCAGACGAACAGAATCAACTTTTGGAGATTTACTTACCTGGATGATTGAGCATTAAAATGACATGCCCAAAATGAATGAAGTATTTCTCTGCGATTACAAACTCTGTGTAAACAATCTTGGCATCAAAATAAAGCTAACACTTGTGAGATTTCATCAGAGGTGTAGATATTGCAGCAGATGTTAAAGTTACTGAGGCTGGAAAAATAAAATAATTTTTTCCTCGCCTAATTTATTTATTTATTTATTTTCGCATGTAACCCTTTTAAAATATGCGTTGGTTCACATTTTAATCCAGAAAATCAGTAATCAGCAAATAAACATCGCCTGTGCAAAGATGGATGCTTCTAAATCAGTAAAAAAAAACACTGCACTTTTAATAAATCAATATCGAGCTGATGTGCAGTTTGTCCAATTTTGGCTACACCTTTGAGCTGAATTTTTTAAAGTACTGAACAACATACATGATTTAATTTCACTAACTTGCCTAAAAATGCTTGTTTTTGGAATATTTCTGTAGAATTAACCACACATGGTGAGTTTAAATGGACCCAGCGCTTTAAACTCTGAGGGGCTGGGACTTCTCCTAGTTAAAAAAAAAACAAATTGTAGTCTAAACAGAAGCATAATAAGCTGTTCTTATTATGGGGATTGTCTCATTGCGTTGTTGAACAATGCCCTCTTCAACTCCATCGACCAGATCAACATCCCAGAAAGTGTTCCTGTATTTGTTAACACTTTATTTTGGCAGATGTGTGCTGTCCAAGAACCACCGGGTGGCGACTGCCACAGTGCAGTCTTGCTTGCTTGCAGTTCAGAATTATAATCAACATTGATTTGATTTTATTGATTAGCATTCAAATATCTCAGTGAAGACAGAGCAAAGATCTACCACAAAGCAAGAAAGCATGAGACAAGGCTAATCAAAAGGTATTGGCTGAAGCATTTGCTTATTACGCCAACCCTTTTAAAAAAGATCTTTTTGCATGCAGCTCCTGTACACAGGGCTCGAAGCAAATAATAAAACAAAGCAAAAACAAAACAAACAAGAAAAAAAACTTTTCTTTTCCACCTTAGATAAGTAACTACATCAAATGCTTTTTTTTTAACCATAAACCAGTTGAAAAGTTAACAGATAAGGAAAGAAAGCATCATGTAGCCTTGGGTCTTTATAGCTTTCGCCAGCAGGGGGATGACTAGAGTCCCTGTAGATTCTGCCTCTTCCAGTTCTTACTCCTCTCACTTCTTTAACTCCCTCAAGTACAAATCTTTGCTTTTTTCATTATCTTTCGCTTCTTCTCAGTCTTTTCCTCCTTTTCCCTTCTTTATTCCTTCCTCTGTCCCTTTTCTTTTCCCTCTCTCCTTACCTCCTTGTCCCTTGTATTCTTCTTCTTGACTGTCCATCACGTTCCCTCTCCTCTCTCTCATTTCCTCTGTTTCCTGTTCTCTCTCTCTTCTTCCTCTACTCCTTCTCTCCTTATATATTCTTTTTAACCTTTCATATTTACCTTTGTTTTTTCACTTCTTTGACATTTTCACTCTCTGTTTCAATCTCCATTCATTCTTTTCCTTTCCCTGGACTGTCCCTTTCCTTGTTCTCCGTGTTCTTTTCACGTCCTCCCTCTTTTCCTTTTCCTTCCTCTCCCCAGACTCCCTTCACCATCCCTTCTGTTTCCTCTGTTTTCTCACTTTCCTCCTTTATTTTCCTGTTTCACCATCGATCCTTTCACCTTTGTCTTGCATGTCACAGCTTGGAGACCGTGTGTGTGCGTGCGTGTGTGCGTGTGTGCGTGCGTGTGTGCGTGTGTGTGTGTGTGTGAGTGTGTGTGTGTGTGTGTGTGTGTGTGTGTGTGTGTGAGAGAGAGAGAGAGAGAGAGAGAGAGTGTGTGAGTGTGTGTGAGAGAGAGAGATAAAAGGAGCAGGAGACCACAAGCTGACTGAAGCTGCGAAGCCAAGCAGTGAGTTTAGCAGCAGCAGGAATGCTTCTGTGAACAATGTGCAGGCAGACGGGACAGGAAGGAGAAATGAGAACTAAGAACTGATGATGATCTCTCACCTACTAAACTATTTCTGAACCTGAGACTAATCTGGACCAGAGATGAATAAAGAAGAAAAAGACCCAAGAAAGAACAAGACTTTGGAGACTTTTGGATATTTTGGGATTTTTTCCTGCTGATATCAAGAAGAAAATAGGATTAAAAAAGTGAAGAAGGTGTTTGATTGGAAGATCAGTCAGAAGATGTTGATGTCCACTTTATCCCCTCAGATGCAAAGAAAAGCAGAATGAAAGGAAGTCAGTTCACCTGTTAATGGATACGATGCTGTAGAGTAATATTTGTGTCTTAGTTTAAATAAAGTAAGAAGAAAAAGGCACAACTGAAGATATACAGAATTTGGTTTGTTTAAAAAACCTGTAGCTGAGATTTTAAACAGAGGTTCTGATCTTGCATAGAGGAACAGAAAAGTTCAATAACATAAAGTGGTCAGAGGAAAGATATGTGGATAGAAGAGAACAAAGACTAACAGGTTTGGAAAACCAAGAAAAAGAGATTTACACACAAAAAAACAGGAGGAAGGTAAACACTTGAAAAAACTGCAGTGTAACAATGGTTTCTCTCAGAGCTTTCCTCCTCGTCCTCATTTTGCACACTACAGTTGTGGTCCCAGCAGCCAGCGTAACCCTGAGCAGGCTGGAGCGCTGGGTCCGCTCAGCCCTCCAGTCACTGCAGTGGAACCAGCTGGAGCGCTGCCGTCGCCTGTCCTCCCTCTCTGAGGCTGAATGCAGGCAGCACGCCCACCTGCCGCTGTCCTCGGTGGCTGTGTACGTGGCGGAGCCTCACAGTGTCGCAGGTAGCAGTACTCTCTTATTCTGTTATTCACAGTGTTCAGTGTGCTTCCTCTGAGCACACAGGTCTGGTGGATGTACACATATTTATTCCTAAGATGTCTTTAAACATCCATGACCATCAGGAGAATGTGCTTTCAAACAATTTTTCAGAACATACCTAATTTTACTCACAAGTTAACAAAGATTTGACCAGATGCTTACAGAGGTATCTTACTAAGCTATTACATATTATTAAGTATGCATGAAATAGCTGCATTGTAAAATCCGTTTTCCTGTTTCGCATCCCGGTAGGTCACTCTGACAAAGTTTTGGCCATCCTACCAGACTCCTCCGTCGGGATGTTGAGCTCCAAGCTACGGAGACGCTTCAGCGGCAGCCAGGTGCTGAACGGGATGCAGGGTCCCCACAGACACCAGCAGTCTCTCCCTCGCTCCATGGCCCACGATGCTGTGTTAGTGCTAGATCCAAGCCCTGGGGAGAACTTTGGACACCCAGTGGTCCTCTTCTATGTGGATGTGAATGTGACAAAGAAAAGATGCTCCCACCTAGATGGCATTTACCTGGGTGAGTCTCAAGACACCGACAGTTATCCAGTCCATGAACTTTAAGAGCTCACAGAGTGCCAATTTAAAAAAAATGTCACTGCTAGATGATTTGATGACAAAACTCGTGTTGTGGATAAATCACACAGTTTATAGAAAACATAGCCCAGCCTTGGAAGTCAAGATTACGTGGATCTGTTTGCCAGCAGGAGGTAACTCCTCTGGATGCAAAAAGAAATCAAATTCTATAAGTTTTATTTGTTAGGATTAATTTTAACTTTGGTACAGGTCAGCTGGGAGAAGTGGTGGATGTAGGAAATGTTGCTGCAGTCACAGAACAGGGAGGAGTAAAGGAGTTTCCCTGGATCACAAAATAAGATGTTTGGGACAGATTCACTGGGTGAGGCGAGTTACTGTAATGCTGCAGTTGTCAGATGATCGACTAACAATGTGCTTTAATTTATGTACAAAGATGCATTTGATTTAAGGGAAAACTCTTCTGATAGAAATCGCTGTGCACTGTGCAAAGGATTGTGAGGATTAGGACTCAGGTACAGCAAAAGATTTATCCAGTGGAGCGCCTCATTATTAAAAACTCTCCCACCCCACAAACCAGAAACCTGTGTGCAGCTACTGACCTGTACGATGTGTGGACCACGAGCTGTCCCAGTTGCTATGTTACTGCGCCACATGCATGTATGCATGCACTGCTTTTTAGTTTTGACTCATGGAAGTCCAACCACACATCTCTGTAAGTATGGTACTGGTACCAGTCTATGTCTATGGTTTCTTAGTTGCAGATGTTGATTGTTTTACTGTCTGGTGTTGGTTCCCATTCGGTTTTGAATCTTGATTCCAGTTTGTTTTCTATGAGCTCTTGTTCCTCCTCCTACACTACATTGCCAAAAGCATTCACTTGTTCACATGTACATGAGTAAGATAACATTTTTAATCCATAGGATTAATATGTTGTCAGCACACCTTCAACTCTTCAGGGAAAGCTTTGCATAAGGCTTAGAAGTATTTTTGTTTTTATGAGACACTGATGTTGGATAAGAGGTCCGGGCTCACAGTTTTCTGGCAACCACCAAACCAATGCATTGGCAGTGATTGAAACACCTGAATTTAGTGATTTGGATGGGTGGGTGAATGCTGTTAGCAATATAGTGTATGTCAAGTCAATAATCAGTAAATGCAGGGTCTGCTTTATTTGATAGTGGTTTGATCTTGTATTGAGTTTTACTTCCTTGTCTTGTTGCTTTGATTAGTTTCAGCTGTGTTTCCTCATGCCTCAGTTTTCCTCAGGTTTTTCACAGGCCTGAAAAGGACAAATCAATCAATGATTGACAAACTCCCCTAAAAAGGCTTCTTTGAACATGTGGTTCACCTGTACCATGCAGCCCAGCATGCAGGCTGCAACTAAGAAACATAGCTGGGAAAGGGGGGGGGACTGAAGGGTTTTTCCCCCAAAACCTCTTATTTGTGTTATTCTTCTGCCATAATGACATTTGACTTATAGCTCCATCACTTCGCCGTTCATCTTGAGAAGTGTGCAAAATTCTTTTTTTTGTGCCTCTTCTGCAGGTACAGGTTGCAGGTAAGTTTAATACCTGGCCTTATCATTCACAAGGAGACAGACCAATGTGAGGCGAACTTAAGAATTAGTTTCCATGCATCTGAAAAGCTCCACTTTCAGTGGCAACAACAGCTTTAATGAACAGCAGGTCAAAAGGCAGAGTAGGAGAGTTTTTTAAAAGTGCGTTATTGCTGCACTACTGCTCCAAAGGGATGGCAAATAAAAGCTTTCTGTGATGTATGTGTTCCTGCATCTCTGATAAAAGCAGAGTATGATCAAGTGCAGGTTTATGACCTCCCACTGTGAGAGGGGTTAAGGCCAAATGCTGAGCTATTCATGCATGCATACGCAGCACTGTGCCCCCTGCTGGGTCCCATAGGTAGATTTACATGAGCATTTTCTTTAGAGAGAAACTTTCTTTTGACCTAATTTAACCAAATCAGGGCAGAAAGGAGAAAAGAGAGAAATGACAAAAAGAAAAGAAAATGGTAAAAGTAGAAGACAAAAAAGGAAGTAGAGAAGATAAACAGATGTGGAAGAAAAGCTATATATAGTTCACTTTTTTACCGGTTCCATAAAGATCTCTAAACCAATAGGGTCCAAGGTAATTCATGTCTCTCCCAGTTAGTGGTTTGGTGTGCATTAAAGATTAAGGGCTGTATTAAACATTTGCAGAACCTTACTCTACTTATAAAGCTAAGAAAAGGAGGCCGGGCTAACAAACTTTATCATTTATTTTTACTTTCACAGTGCTCAAATTTCCCTTTCACTCATCTACCCACTACAGGAAACTGACCCTAAACCTTCTCCTGCTGTCGTCTGCCTTTGTGTCTTCAGGTGATGAATGTTTGACGCTAGCTTTAAAGGGTCGCTGTGAGAACCAGCTGAAGCATCGTCACACCGGGACAGAAAGGGTGATTGGTAATGGTCACATGACAGTTGGCACCATTAGCACCAGCGGTGGTAACCGTCTGCTCGAGCATGCCATTGGAGGGCTCTGTGAGGTCCACTTCCTCCCACTGGTCGTTGGAGTCAGAGACAGTAACCGAACACAAAGACTCAGATGTGTTGGTAGGTACAGCAGGTCTGAAAAAAGCCCAGCTCAGTCCTTGCAACCAGCCTACACTAACCACTTAGAGGGCATACTTTTCCCTTTTTTTTTTTACAGACAACTAATTAACAGCACTGTATTCAGAGTATTTGGAGTATTCGGAGTATATGTAATGATTCTGTGCTGAACTGAAATACATAATAACCACAGAAAGCACAACAACTGACATAAATACACAAGTGTCTTAAATGGGAGTCTACTGTGTTTTGCACACTCCTGCAGCCAATCCGGTCGTTAAGTCTGACGTCACTAGCCGTGTCTGGGCCTAAACTCCGCTGCAGGTCCATAAATCAAACGATCACTGTGGCATTACTGAGAGTTGAAAAACTGTCTAAAGTCTTTCATCTTTAATAAAATGATCAGCGTTCTGCTCTACCAGGTGTAACAATTGAGTTTAACATCCAGGCATCCATGAAAATGGAATTTATGACATTTAACGGAGTTAGAAGTTAGCAGGGAGTTAGCTCGCTAGCTTCTATCTAAATACAATATAGCATGTCCTGACTGCGGGGTTTTGGAAACAAATTCAAACGTACAGCTCTGTTATCACTTCCAGCATAAATGAAGACAGAAAACTAAACAGCAGTGACGTTTGTAGGGTTACTGAAGTTGGGCTAGCTGGTATATAATGATGTGCTACGTGACCGCTAGCGACACAGCTATGTTAGCATAACATAAACAAGCTAACTTTTTTCCACTCGATAAAAGTTAACGTGAGTGTTCTCGGTGGTCAGGAACAAATGTAATTGCATGGCAGGATGCTGTAAAAGGACCAAACTTCAGCCAGGAGAACAACTGAGATAATCCATCCACAATACGAGGTTAGTCATTCATATACTGCTGCATGGGCTGGGCTGTAGCTACATCCTAAGGTTTTAAAAACTGAGCTTAAATAAATGATTAGCGGTAATAAAAGCCGAGGGAGGTCAGCAGTGATCACTGACTGTTTTAGGAGCTTTTTGAGATAAAATAGAAGAAAATACAAAACATTAAACATGTTCAGTTCAGTTCAGTTCAGTTCATTTTTATTTCAAACATTTCAAACATGTGCCTTCACAATCATTACAAAATATCATTCCATTATTTGTTTGAAAAGGAGTAGGCTGAAGTATTTACTTATTTGTCCCTACCCCCTCAAGTTTTACCTCTCATTCATTTAATTTTTTTTGTCTTAAATTAAACAAACAACATATGAAACATATAAACATATGAAGTAAAAAACATAACATACATAAATCAAAAACAAGAAATTAGCAAGCCCCACCACAGTATAGTTTCTTTCATATGAAAAATACAGAATGTGTATATTTGCAGATACACAAGTTATGGAAAAACAACAAAACAAAAAAACAACCAAAAAGAACCACAACACCATTACCAGCAACATTACCATCCTGGGTTAACCCCGTTTTCTTCATTCTTATACTTATTTAAAATTAGGTTTTTATATTTTACTTTAACTGTTTTATGTTTTGACTGTCTTTTATTTCTTCTGTTAGACTGTTCCATAATTTAACTCCTGCAATTGAGATTGACATAGTTCTTAAAGTTGTTCTAGCACTTTGTATTTTTAAATTCCATTTCCCTCTTAAGTTATACCCACCTTCTCTTTCTATGAACAATTTACAGATTTCTTTGGGAAGCAATTTATTTCTGACTTTATACATTATTTGCGCTGTTTTAAGCTTCACCAAGTCTTGGAATTTAATAGCTTGCATTTTGACAAAGAGTGCATTTGTATGGTCCCTGTACCCTACATTATTTATTAATCTAATGGCCCTTTTCTGTATTATAGTTATTGTTTGTGTGTTACTTTTGTATGTGTTTCCCCAGACCTCTACACAGTAGCTCATATATGGCAGTAGTAAAGCACAGTATAAAATGTGCAGTGCTTTCTGATCCAACATATGCTTTGCTTTTCCCAGGACGGCAATGCCCCGTTCACAACACAAAAGCCATATTAAACACAGACTACTTTAGGCCCGGAAGTAGGATTCGTCACGTCATCACTTAACGACCGGATTAGACGATCGCCCACATTTAAACAAAACATTGAAAAAAAATATGGTTAAGTGACTACAGCTACTTCTTCTTCTGGCTGTCCTCTTTATGAGTTACCACACAGAGGATCATCTGCTTCCATCCCACCCTATCCTTAGCATCCTCCAGCTCTGCATATTCTCCTTCGCCATGTCATTGAACCTCGTGAGGTGGTTAGGCAGGAGCACAAAGTGGGTATTCTAAAAAATGGTGGTTTTTACTTACCCCAGAAAAATAGACAAAATGAATCAACAATATACATACTAAACAAGGCCAAAGGAACAGAACTAAACTCAAGACAAAATAACAATTCAACATAACTCCAGACTAATTGCTCAACAAAATAAAACTGAACTAACACACAAGAAACACAAAGGACTTAAATACTGGCTGATCAGACCAGGTTGATGCATAAGGGGAACACAAATACCAACAAATTTAACATCAACAAAAGCCCCCAAAAGCAGCATTTAGTTTAATACTTACTTCAAATTAATGATACTCAGCAAATAAGCAACTTATAAGTAAAAGCAATTATGCAACATTTAAGATAATTGTTCTTCCTCATGATAGAACTACACTTACTATCACCCAGTCAGCACTTCCTGTGTATAACAGTGCTCAACAGAGCATATCTTTTGCCCTTCATGACGCCAGCAGCCCTGAGCAGCGACATAAACCCCTGCCAGCACCGGTAAAACAGAGAAAAAGAATTTAATAAAGATGATTGTATCAAAGCTAACTAAATGTGTGCACTACAAATAGAACTCATTTATTTCAACAAAATCGAATAAACATAAATAAAGTGTCGAAAAAAGAACGGTGTCACAATATTTGTGTATATGAAATTAAGTTTACTCCTAAGGGTAAGGATCCCTCACAATGCAGCTCCTACAGACCGGTGAGCCTCGAAGCAAAACAAAACCGGAGCACCAGAAGGCCAAAAGACAAAAACAAAAAACGAGCCCAAAACCAAAAGAAACGAAGCACACCAGAACACAGGAAAAAACAGAGCCCAAAACAGAAGAGTTCAGGGGGCCGACAGCACAGGAGTCCAAAACAGTTCAGGGGGCCGACAGCACAGGAGTCCAAACAGTTCAGGGGGCCGACCGTGCGGACGGCAACGGCGGCGACGTGGACACAGTTCGGGGGGCCGACCGTGCGGACGGCAACGGCGGCGACGTGGACACAGTTCGGGGGGCCGGCCGTGCGGAAGGCAACGGCGGCCACTCAGGCGATGGTGATCCGGACCAGGCGAGGCTGCAGAGGCTGGACCAGGCGAGGATGAAGACTCGGATGAAGCTGGACCAGGCGAGGATGAAGACTCGGATGAAGCTGGACCAGGCGAGGATGAAGACTCGGATGAAGCTGGACCAGACGAGGCTGAAGACTCGGATGAAGCTGGACCAGACGAGTCTGAAGGCTCTGAGGCTGGACCAGACGAGGCTGATGATGATGCTGCAGCCGGCGAGGATGATGATGATGCTGCAGCCGGCGAGGATGATGATGATGCTGCAGCCGGCGAGGATGATGATGAAGCTGCAGCCGGCGAGGATGATGATGAAACTGCAGCAGGTGGCTGGACGGGCTCCTCGGGCCCTCCAGCTGAGACAGGTGGCTGAACGGGCTCCTCGGGCCCCCCAGCGGAGACTGGAGACAACGGCCGGAGCGGTCCCTCGGACCCTCCAGCGGAAACAGGAAACAAAGGCCGGAGCGGTCCCTCGGACCCTCCAGCGGAAACAGGAAACAAAGGCCGGAGCGGTCCTCGGACCCTCCAGCAGAGACACGGGACGAAGGCCGGAGCGGTCCCTCGGACCCTCCAGCGGAGACACGAAACGAAGGCTGGACGGGCCCCTTGGACCCTCCAGCAGAAGCCATCGCAAAGCCAGCAGGCATGGAGTCCTCTGGCAGACATGAAGGCAATGGGTGCTGTGCTGAGCACTGGCCCTGCTCAGACAGCACTGACACGGAGTTGTTCTCTGAGGGCTGCTTAATCTTCAGGGGTCCAGAATCAGCTGGGGACTGAGACCTAGCCTCTGGGGAAGCCCTGGAGTGCAGAACGGTGCCTGAAGCAGCTAAAGCGCGAGAAACTCCCTGACTGGACCTTAAATTTTCTCCCTGCATGGAGTGAATGAGTGGAACCGGTACTGCTGGAGCCAGAGCTACGGGTAGCGGGGCACTGGAGCTACTGGGCCTGCGCTACAGGCGGCACTGGAGCTACTGGGGCCTGCGCTACAGGCGACACTGGAGACTGAACTGAAGGGGACACTGGAGACTGAGCTGAGAGGAGCACTGGCTGCGGGGGAGCTAACTGAGCTGAGAATGGCTGCGGGGGAGCTAACTGAGCTGAGAATGGCTGCGGGGGAGCTAACCGAGCTGAGAATGGCTGCGGGGGAGCTAACCGAGCTGAGAATGGCTGCGGGGGAGCTAACCGAGCTGAGAGTGGCTGCGGGGGAGCTAACCGAGCTGAGAGTGGCTGCGGGGAGCTAACCGAGCTGAGAGTGGCTGCGGGGAGCTAACCGAGCTGAGAGTGGCTGCGGGGAGCTAACGAGCTGAGAGTGGCTGCGGGGGAGCTAACCGAGCTGAGAGTGGCTGCGGGGAGCTAACTGAGCTGCCGGTAGCTGCACAGGCGATAAGCAGCTCGCGTTGACATCCGCCACACAAAACGCAGCCCCTGAATGAACAGTCATGCAGTCTGAAAATGAAAAAGAGTCCTCACTCACCACAGCCGGCGATTTAGAAGCCCGAACGTCCGGCTGTGGGGTGGCGCGCTTGCGGCGCGATCTGCGTTTCCTCCCCGCAGACGGCTCCGACGGGCCGGGCAGCGAGGCAGGAGTGGCTGAGAGAAGGTGAGGTGTGTGCCGGAGAAAAGCCTGTATGGTCGGAGGAAGTGAATTCAGTAGCCATGGCAGGCCGGAAAAGAGACGTTGTAGCCGACCTTCCACGGTGCAGCGAAGCTCGTACGGAGGATTCTCCAGCCACAGCCCGAGGAGGATCTCCACATTGTAGCCGATGTCATCCTGGAGCTCCTCGGACGGATTGACTGCCGCTGGTCCATGGTGGCTGGTTCGTTCTGTCACGGTTTGCGGGGCAAGCCGTGTGGATTTGTAGTAAGGACCCAAAAGGCGGCAGCTCTGGTGCAGGTGAGTGTTTATTTACAGGGGTGTAAGTACAAACAGCGGTGGGGACAAAACATGAAACCGGAAACCTAAACTGGGTAAACTAATAAGACAAACCAGAATGAGGATGCAGGGAGGTCCGGAGAAATACATACGGGGAGACGCAGGGAGACCGAGGGGAAACAACACAGACGAACCAGCGATCACGAAGACAGAAAATACAACTTAAATACACTCAGAACACAGGGAGATTACACACAGCTGGGAGTGATTAACATGACGAGACCAGGGAGGCAAACTGAAAACACTCACATAAGACACAGACCTTCACAATAAAACAGGAACACACAGGGGGAACAGGGTAAACACCAATTAGAGAACAGAACCAAAATCGCGAAGAGAAAACACAAAACGCTGGGTCAAAAGGACCCAGGATCATGACACATGCGGTCCTAAATGAATTTGAATTTGGCCCATTGTTTCAAAAATGGATTAAAATACTGTATTCCTCTCTGGTTGCGGCAGTGAGGACAAACAATGTAACTTCTGACTTCTTTCAGCTTAGTAGAGGCTGCTGGCAAGGCTGTAGTTTATCTCCCTATCTTTTCAACTTAGTAATCGAACCTTTAGCTATCGCTCTTAGGGAGGACAATCAGGTTGCTGGAATCTCTAGGAGCGGGACAATGCACAAAGTATCATTGTGTGCAGATGACTTATCGCTGTATATATCTAATCCAACGGCATTAGATATAAAACTGCTCAAGGTATTAGATCACTTCAGACGCATATCTGGATGCAAATTGAATTGGAAAAGTAAGTAAGTAAAGTAAGTAAAATTTTATTTATATAGCACATTTCTAGATAAGAGATCACAAAGTGCTTTACAAGGTATAGACACAGATTAAAAAGACGAAGTACAATCAAAAGTTAACAAAATGCAATTTTAAAAAGATGTGTTTTTAGCTGTTTTTTAAAAGTAATCAGTGAATCAGCAGATCTTAAGTTCTGAGGAAGAGAATTCCACAGTCTGGCGGCCACAGTAGCAAAAGCTCGATCACCCCTAGTTTTCAGTCTCGTATACTTAATAACAAGTAGGCCCTGACCACAAGACCTCAGAGACCTACTAGGGGCATAGGGCTGTAAGAGTTCAATGATGTATGATGGTGCTTGTTCTTGAAGAGCCTTAAATGTGAGAACCAGAATCTTAAAGTGGACTCTGAATTCGACAGGGAGCCAGTGTAACTGTATAAGCAGCGGTGTTACATGTGAGTATTTCGATGTTTTCGTCAGAAGCCTTGCTGCAGCCCACTGTTCCCTATTAATAACAGAGAGCAAGATTTCTCTGCCTTCCCCTTTAAGTTAGAAAAAGAAATGTTTAAATATTTGGGAATAAATATAACCCGCACAATGATGGAGTTGCGGATTCATAATTTTGACACTTTGTTAGAACAAACATCACAAGATTTTTAAAAAATGGGCAACATTTCCAATCTCATTAGCAGGCAGAATAAATCTAGTTAAAATGGCGGTCTTACCAAAACGTCTCTATGTTTTCCAAATGATTCCTGTTTTCATAACCAAATCAAGTTTCAAAGATTTAGACAGATTAATAGCAACATTTATTTGGAAAAATTCAAATCCCAGAATGGAAAAATCATATTTGGAAGTACCAAAAGAGCCTGGTGGGCTAGGGTTGCCACTACTGGGCGGCTAATATCACCAAATTATTGCACTGGAAATATGTTTATGAGAACAGCGAGGGTGAGGCTTGGGTAAAAATGGAACTGATGTCTAATCCACTTCCCCTCCTAACCTCATCCGTAGCTCTAAATCAAAAACAGAAAATAACAAATCCAGTTGTAGGAACATCTATTAGATTATGGCTTCAATTCAGAAGGCGCTTCTGTTTGCAACAGGTTAGTAATTTTTTCATTGTTGCTTTTAACCTTTTTATTGCCATCCATTTCAGATAAAGCATTCCAAATTTGGCACAATAAAGGTTTGAAGTTTTTTTACAATTTATTTTCAGGAGAAACTTTTAACACCTTTGATGCTTTGATGAGAGATTACAATATACCAACCTCATATATGTTTAGATATCTGCAAATACGAAATTTTGCAAAAACATTGTTTCCTTCATTCTCCTACTTACCTCCTAAAAATCAAGTGGATACTATTTTGGAAATAGATCCTTTTGGCAAAAGGTGAATCTCCGTCATATACAAACTGATACAGAGCTTAAGGCCTGTTACTTGGGAAAAAACTAAAAATAATTGGGAAAAAGACGTTGGGGTGGATTTATCTGATGATGAGTGGAGATCTTGCTTGAATCGTATACATACCTCCTCCCTTTGCATTCGCCGTGGTTTAATTCAGTTTAAAATTCTTCATCGTCTTCATTATACAAGAGAGAGGCTTTCAAAGTTTTCCCAGAAGCCGATCCTGCCTGTCCCAGGTGTGGACATAATCCAGCAAATGAGGGTCACATGATGTGGTCTTGTCCTAACCTGGATAATTATGGATAATATATTTAAAGTATTATCTCACATCAGTGCGCAAAATTTAGTGCTTGATTTCCACATTGGCATTTTTGGAGTTATGCCACCTCAATACGAAATTAGCAAATCTCAGGAAAATGCCATAGCATTTGCTGCATTGCTTGCCTGTAGACTCATTCTATTCCACTGGAAGTCTGCAGAGTTGTGCAGCTGCAGGTGCGGCTTCGACACACACTTCAAGGATGCTAGGATAGCGAGAGAGATAGTTGGAAGCTGTGCCGTGTTTTCCAGGGATGTGCTGATCTTTGAACTGGAATGGCTGCATGGCTTGAACCAGTGAATAATTTCCCCATTTGAGTTCTTCAGCCTGTTCAGCCACTGCAATGCTTTATGGTCAGTCTGCAAGATGAACTCCCTCCCCAGCAAGTAGTACTTTAAGGAGTCTAGTGCCACACTTGATAGTGGCATAGTGCTCTTCTGAAGGTACGGCTCTAGCTCTGGCCGGGACACACTTTGCTGGATTGATTGTGAGGACAGCAAGCTGCAAGCGGTCCAGGACCAAATTCAGATGTTCCACGTGTGACTCCAAGGCACCGCTGTACATGACAATTTACATTGCAAGCCAGACATTGTGGTTGTGTTGGTCACTCTGGCACGAACACCACACCCAAGCTGATCCCACAAGTGTTCAGTGGGGTTTAGGTCGGCACTGCAGTTAAGGCATTCCATCCTCTTTTCTCCAAAGTTCGGGAGGCAGTGCCTGATAAACCCCGCTCTGAGGGGGTGCGTTGTCATCTTGGAGGGCAGAGTTTGGTCCCAGACTCTGGAGACACAGGATTGCCACTGGCTGCAGAATCTCAATGTCTCTCAGCATCGAGCTTTCCTCCAGTGATGACAAGCCTTGTTTTCCCATGGAGGGAGATGCTGCCTTATACTAATACATCACACAAGCTCTACCAAAAACTGTTCCCCTATCAGTTCAGCAAACAGCATTATGTTCTCCACATCTTCTCCACACTTTGACCCTGCGATGTCTTCGGCAGAATCTTGACTCGTTGCTGAACGTAACATTTCTCCACATGTTCTGGTTCTACTGCACATGATGTCAAACTGTAATCATGGCAGCCCTGTGAGTTCTTTACGGTCCAGAGAGCTGTCTGCCATATCATCCTGAAAACCTGGACTGCAAATCTGTACAAGGATCCCTATGGCCTTTGGTTCCCAAGTGCTAGTGGGGTGAGGAAATGGTCTTGTTGTGGTGTATTCTTTTTGGGACACCCTCTTCATGGCCCATCTTTGACATCCCCAATTATTAACTTAGAACTGGCCAATTTGGAGACGGTACTATGACTCGCGCCAAATAATGGTGCAGCTTGGTTTTACAAAAAACCAGCTTGAATTTGCCCTATCGTGTGGGCCCTGTCCAGATCATTAACAATTTTGTGCTAAGTTTATATGAAAATCCAAATAACTGGGATTTATAGTAAATCTAAAAAAAAAACATGTGCTAATAATCACTGTATCTTTGAAGATGTTTGTGCAAAGTTTCATTCACATGCCAAATGTGCAATTAAGTATTTTTGTATTGTTGGTGAGTGTAGAAGGATACCAACACTAATTTGACATGTCTAGCGATATATCAGTCCAAAGTCTTTCATTAAAGTAGTCTTTTAAGACAAACATCTGTGTTTGATGCTTGCTCAGTCATCCAGGTAAGGAAATCCCAGAAGGTTTATTCTGTTCATCTGAACGTAGTGTTTTCAGTGCAAGTGAGGTTCTCCCACTGAAAACGCGACGTCCTTCTGGGACAAGGACCTTTTCTGTGTCTTTTCTGTGATACTTTCCTTTTCCCTGGACAGATCACACAGACTTTGCAGCATGTCCTCTGCTGCTGCCCGTGAACTCGCCTAGTTTGCCCGTCTCAAGCTGTGAGCTGAATAAAAACACGAGACGCTGCCATCAGCAGCCTCTGGGCACTCACCTCTCCTGTCGCCTCTACCAGACCTGTGACCATGCTGTCCTCATTTCAGGTACGCTGTTTTAATGTCTATGTAACGGTCTCATGAAATAAACCTTGACAGCAAATTTTAGTAGTATGCAAGTAAATTAGTATTAGTATATTGCTACAGTTACATGCCAATTACATCGACAAGGTCCCGGGTTCAAATCCCGTCTATGGCCTTTCTATGAGGAGTTTGCATATTCTCTCCGGGTACTTAAGGTTCCTCCCACACTCCAAAGACATGCATGGGCATTTCCAAACTGACCACAGGTGTGAATTATGTCTCTGTGTTAGCCCTGCTTATTGGCCAGCTGTCCAGGGTGTAACTGTTTGACAGGTAGGATAGGTTTCCCCTATCCTGTGACCTTGGACACATGGTTAGTAAATGGACTGCTTGTTATACAGCCCTATACAGCATGTCACATTCACCCATTCACACATTCATACAAGCACTTGTTTCTACCTAACATTTACAGACAACAATAGCATCGTGAGGAGCTCTCTGTTATCGCTTAGTGTTTGCCGGTCTTGTTTATTTCCTTACCTTATACAAATTCCTCTTGGTCTTACTTCATGTGGTTAGTTCTGTAGTCCTGTTCCAAAAATCTGTATAATCAAAAAAATGAAGTTGGGTGATTGTTACATGTACAAGATTCAAACTTGTAGCTTGAACGAAATAATTTCATGTTTCTATGGTGAACATAATTACATCATGTAGCATCTGCATGAAATTCGGCAACGTAATTCGTTCTTGTTGAGATGATGTGATACAGTCTAGTAAGAGTGGTTAGTTGCCTGGACTCACGAAATTCACAAGATCACATGAGATGTCAAACTGCAGGAAAACCACTGGAGTTTTAAGAGGCAGACAAGTACACACACACCACGTGTGTGCTCTCGCTATTTATTGTGGTTTAACCTGTCAAGGACAAAAACGTACAGAAAATTCTGCAGCAAGCCTGGTAATCATAGCTTTCCTAGTTTTGTTAGGCCTGGAGCGACAGCTTGGTGGTGTGATGGTTAGTGCTGTTGCCTCACAGCAAGAAGGGCCTGGGTTCAAATCCACAATCTGGCTGGTTTGCAGTGTGTAATTAGAGTTATTGGTGATTCTTAATTACCCATGAATGTAAGTGCAAATGGTTGCTTGTCTCTATGAAATAATCAACGCCCATATTGGTTCATTAAGCAAGAGAAGCAGTAATAGAGATCGACAGACCACCTGACTTTCACGCATTGCATTGTGGGTACAAGTGGCAACAAAATCAAAACACTGCATCAAGCATTTCCAGCACCGGTAATCATTTCCATCTCGCTGCAGGGCAACCTGCTAGTGACAAATAAAAGCTGTTTCATTCATTAATTCTGCGGTTTTAATCCCTACTTGCATTTTATTTGCCCCAAAGACAGTGATGTACAAAACGACGGAGAACACGGCAGCTCCGTACGAAGACAGACGTGACGAAAAGAGTACGAGGAAAAAATCAAGGAGTGAAAGGGTCAGACCCACACGAGCATAGAGTGGAGTAAGGACGTCAGCCTGCTGCCCAACTTTCATCACGCACATATTTATTATCATATGGTCCTAAGTGTGAGTGCATACACTCACAACATGTTTAGTAACTTCAGATCCCTGCAACAAGCCCAGGTCCAGTTTACTTTGGTGATTTGGACGATTCCATCTCACAGCTGTTGTTACAGGCCAACGCATCTATTTGTCGTTTCAGGTTGTAGTATTACACAACATTTTCAGATCTCAGAAAAAAATGAGTGTTTCGTAATTCATTCAATTATTGTCTTTATTTATAACTGGCATTATTGTTTCATTCTATTATAGAATCTTACAGGAAAGAGGCAAAATTGTAAAAATCCATCGTGCTTTATTCGCTGTTTCGGTGAAAAACAAATCAACAATGCAACAACAACAACAAAAACCATTGCAAAACAACATACTGAAACAGTTATTCATCACTTGATTGCTTCAATACAACACTTGGGCACATATATGCGGACGTTTCGTGGCTGTTTTGATCTCGCTCTCTCTCTTAACTGATCAGATCTGGTAGCAGCTTTAAACTCGGTGTGACCCAGGCTGATAGAGGGGCCCAGTCTGGATCACATTCCTACATTTTGTAGGCCGGTTTTCCTACAAAACACAACAAACATTAGCCCGCAAAGCCACAGTGAACAAAGCAGCATAGCAACGAATTCAATTCAAATCAATATAAGACTTACTTGTAACCTACATCAACAATTGTGTTATGATAAATTACGTAATAACTACAACAGAAGACTGACCTTTGTGGAAATGCTTGGAGCAGACTAACCTGGAGTGTTCTGGGATGTTATATTTGGTCTTTGAATGGCTGCAATCCAGGCCATCCGTCGCCTCGTTGTTACTTCGGAAACATGGCTTGAACAATTTTTCTTCCACAACGTAATCCCGTCGGCTTCCCGTGGCTGTCATGCGACCGGCTATTGCAGTTAATAATACAACTGTCATGAACCGAAGTTCCGCGCACAAGCTGGACCCAGAAGCAGAGCACACACACACCGGGGTATGAGAAAAAAAATAAACTTTATCATAACTGAAGGTGTCCCGGGAGGGTAGAAGGGGAAAACGCGTGGAACCAGAGAAACCGAAGGACCGGGAGGTGAGTCGCGCAGGAACGCCGAGAGCGGGACTGTGGGAGGCTGCAACAGAAAAAGGAAAAGGATTATTGGGGTGCGGGGAAATGGCAGCATACGAGGGGAGGTAGAGTATGCGTCTTACGATGATAGCGGGGCTGAGGGAGCCGGAGGGAGGGGTGAGGGTCCGCGGGGGAGCTCCAGAAAAGTCGAGGCGGCGAGTGCTGATCGTGATCCAAATTCCAGACGGGTAGGTGGACAGGCAGGTGGCTCAAAAAACGCCGAGTTGTGATCTGAGTACACAGGGCAGAGTTAGTGCTAGTTCAGATGAATAAGTTTTCATAAGGGCTTTCCCACAGGTGTACGTTACTGCTGAGAGACGACTACGGACTGGCGTGGAGCAGCAGGCTGGGCAGGATTAAATAGTCCACCTGGTGATCGCCTGGGATGGGATGCAGGTGTGGAGTTAGCAGCCACGCCCGTGGGCGTGGGCATCCCATCAGCACCTCGGACACCGGGCCGCGGACCATGACAGTACCCCCCCCTCACGGGTCGCCCCCAGGCGACCGGCCGGGCCCCCCCCTGCGGAGAGAAGCATGGAAAGCATGAGATGAGACGAGGGTCCAGAATTAAGGAGCGTGGGACCCAGAGGCGGTCTCGGGGCCGTACCCCTCCCAATCCACGAAATACCGCCAACCGCTCCCGCGCCGGCGCGCATCCAGGATCCGCTGGACCGCATAGGCCGGATGGCCGCCGACGAGCCGGGCGGGAGGAGGGGGCTCGGAAGGAGGGCACAGGGGGCTGAGGCGGACCGGCTTAAGCTGAGACACATGGAACGTGGGGTGCACCCGCCGGGAGGCCGGAAGCCGGAAGCCGGAGCCTGACTGCCACCGGGTTGATGACTCGGTCCACCTCGTACGGCCCAATGAAGCGGGGAGCCAGTTTGCGAGACGTGCCCCGAAGTGGGATATTCCCAGCTGCCAACCAAACCTTCTGTCCCGGTTGGTAGTCAGGGGCTGGGGCCGGCGGCGATCGGCGTAGTGCGCATGCCGTTCCTTCGCGCGCAGGAGGGCGCACACGTTGGCAGCGCCGGAGGTGATGTGGAGCCGACGGATGGAGAGAGTCAAGTCTCTTCTGGGAAGAGTGGAGGCTGATATCCGAGGGACGCTTCGAAAGAGACAGACCGGTGGAGGACGAGGTTAGAGTGTTGTGGGCGTACTCCACCCAGGGCAGGTAGGTGACCCAAGAGGAGGGGTTTTGACTAGCCACGCACCTCAGCATAGTCTCCAGCTCCTGATTGAGACTTCGTCTGTCCGTTGGATTGCGGGTGGAAGGCGGAGCTCAGATTGACCTTGGCGCCGAGAATGGAGCAGAAGGTCTTCCACACTTGTGAGGAGAACTGGGGACCTCGATCGGAGACAATTTCCAGGGGATTCCGTGGAGCCTAAAAACATTAGTGATCAACGTTTGGGCTGTCCAGCGCCGAAGGCAGCTTGGCTAGCGGGATGAAGTGAGCGGCCTTAGAAAACCTATCTACAACGGTGAGGACGACACACTTTCCGGAAGAGGTAGGGAGACCGGTAACAAAGTCAAGGGAGATGTGAGACCACGGCCGGTGGGGTGTAGTGAGGGGGTGGAGCTGACCTACGGGGTGCTTGGTGGATGACTTATTACGGGCGCAGACGGCACAGGTAGACACATAGTCCTTCACGTCCCTTATTAGCGACTTCCACCAGAAATGTCTTCTGAGGAGGTGCGTCGTTCTGCTCACGCCCGGTGGCACGTGAATCGTGCAGTGTGGATCCAGTGGATGACAGCCCACGGGCCGGCGGCGGGAACGAAGCGCCGTCGGGTGGTCCGGTCCTGGATCAGGGTCCCCCGGGAGAGCTCAGCGAATGGTCTCCTCAATTTCCCAGGTGAGAGCACCACCACGCAGGCGGCGGTAGGATGTTGGCAGGGGGGGGCGTTTCACTGTCGGAGGAATATTGACGGGAGAGCGCATCGGGCTTAATGTTCCGCGACCCTGGACGATAGGAGAGAGTGAAGTTGAAGCGAGCGAAGAACAGAGACCAGCGGGCTTGGCGTGGATTCAACCTCTTGGCGGTTCTAAGGTACAGTAGATTCTTATGGTCTGTCCATATAAGGAAGGGCTGTTCGGCCCCCTCCAGCCAGTGGCGCCATTCCTCTAAGGCGAGTTTAACAGCTAGGAGTTCCCTGTCGCCGATGTCGTAATTCTTCTCCGCAGGGGGAGTCGGCGCGAGAGAAGGCGCACGGCGGAGTTTATTTTGAGGCCCGGACGGCTGGGAGAGAACCGCTCCAACTCCCGCATCAGACGCGTCAACCTCAACGATAAACTGCTTAGAAGAGTCTGGATGGGTTAGAATGGGTGTGGACGTGAATAAT